GCCACGTGGTTTTCTAAACAAGGCCTGCATAATGACAAGTACGTTTGACATGACATCATAGATGGCAGAATTTCACAAGGTCTCACATCTAGATGAAGAGTTAAAGACAGACCATAACTGCTTTGGGAAGGATAATCATTTTCTCCAGAGATGAGCTCCCCTAAAATTGCCCTATCCAAAGTGGTCAGTGTTATGTAGATTTGAGCAAAACTAAATGGACTCAGAAGACTGTGTGTGTTCATATACATATATGTAACATATATATATGTACATATTTGTAACAATGAAAATTAAAGAGTGCATGATGTTGAGAATGAGTGTGGGTGATTGGGAAGACCCAGGAGGCAGGAGTGGGAGGAGAATATGGCAAAGGTGTGAGCACTTTTCAAAAAACAATAAAGATGAAGAATAAAAACAGAAATCAAAGTAAATTTGTTTTTAAAAAGTGTTTGAACAGGAATTGAATTCTTGTCTTTAGCCGTCGAAGTTTTAACCCATGATACTATAGGCAGCAGCCCATTAGGGTTGTTGAACCAGTAGCTATTGCTGGAGAACTGGTTTCGTGAGTCCTGGACATTTCTTTTAGGGGGCTGGGTACATACCCTCGCTTCAGGAACACTGTGAGGTGTTTACGTGCTTACAGTATAGGGTGACAAATGCTTTTTCTACCTTCCCAATGAGCTCAGAATGTCATAACCACAGAGCGAATGTGTTCTTCTGATCTAATTTTCAATGAGAATCCATGAAGCCATGGGACCATATACCTCCAAACTTCCTTCAAGATATGTATTTCTTAGATTCATCCGCTGTTGATCAGAGAACACAGTTGTATCAGCTCTTTGGACGCCAGGAAATCTGCGTGTGAATAAAACTCTGAAGGCGCCACAACTCCAGCAATCAAATTTTCAGTATCTGTCGTGCCATTTCTTAAATAAACAGCCTAATGTAAAAAAGGCACATAAAAGAATGTTAAATAAGAGTACATACTCTTTTATCCTCGAATGGACTAGTTATTTAGAATTCCCATTAAGGCCCATAAGAGGCATACACATGATATTTCTTGTAATTACAATTGAGGTGCTCAAAAATGTCTTCAATGCGAAAGTCAGCAGGCAAGTTTGTTAAGTCTCTTAGCCCTTTGACTATTTGATGATGCAATAAAGGCATATTCTATATACTATTTACCCCCTAGACAGTAGAGATAGTTTACCACATGATACATGGTATTACAAAGTCCTCCAAGATCAATCCCATCATCTTTCACACTTTGAACGTGAATATTAATATTAAACCAAAACCTAAACTGAGGATGGCCAGAACAAGAACAGACAGTAAGGTGACTGTAACGCCAAGCAGAAGCGGACCTTTCCTGTCACATAACTGAATTCTCATTTAGCAAAGGGCTCAACAGCTCCCTGGTGACAGTCATTTCAAGGGGACTTCTTTAGCAACTGGCAGAAAAACCATCAAACAAACCAAGATCAAGACCCTGAGAGTTCTGAAAATTATCAAATAGAAGTATTCTTTTCAAATTATACCAGATCAAAATAAAAATAAATAATTCTCTTTACAAACTCATCAATGTGTCCTTATATTCAAATGAAAATGAAGGGTCAGGCTGTAAGACAAGCCCTTCCAGGCACTAGGAATTCCCTGCATTCCAAGCATAGAGGACAATGAGTGAACCAGCTGATTTCTCACAGGATGACTCAAGTCAAACCTGTCCTTAGGCTTTTGAGTCCATAAAACCATAAAACATTACCTCAGTTTCTATATTTTCCAAACAATTAAGGAAAATGGATTTGTTTGCTTCTTTTATATAAATACGTCTCTTGTTAAACTGAAAGCAACAGGAAACTTGGACTTTTAATTGGACCCCCATGTCTATGGCTGTCCTGTATTTTATGTAAAGCTATAGGACTTAGGCTAGATAACATCTAAGAGTGACAGAGTCAGCCTAACTGCACTGTTCCCAGAGTTTAGGAAAAGACCCCCAAATTTTCCATGTTCTCTAGTGCAGACACATTTTATGTGGGAAGTAAGAATTCATCCATTTGGGACATACTAGTACCTTTCCTTTGATGGGTGACAGGGGAATTCTCTTACCACTTCACTAGTGAGATTCATCTTCCAATTTTCATAATCCTTATAAATGAACAAATATTTTCAACTAAGAGGAGGATGGTGTGATATACTGGCAGTGTGACACAGGATTCTGTCCTTAGAACATATCCTATCCTGGCAGGGCTTTGCAGTGGGATCATTGTAAGGACTACTCTAGCTTTCCAGTTGCCAGATTCTGAGAGTTGCTGGTAAACATCTGTGGTCTTGATTGGGCATGTTTGGTGCTCTTGGTGTTACTAAAGAAGTTACACTTGAAATGACTGTCATCTTGAAGTTGTGACCATAGTCAGGGAGGGTTGGTGGATCTGGGAACTAATGCAACAGGAATGAACTGGGAAGAGGAAAAACCCCACACAGAGCTCAGAGTACATGAATTGGTCAGATCTGTGCTCGGAATAGGTCAGCAATTGTAAATAAAATGTTGATAAAGGGCCAGATGTTCTGGCTGTAAGTCACTAGAAGTCATTAGAGTCTGAGTCACAGTCCAATGATTTGTCAGATGAGGGACCACTGATTTGTATCTCACCTGCTGTTGTCAAAGCAGGTAATCTTGTGCAGAGGGAAAAACTTCAGGCAGTTCCATAAGGGGGAAGCCAATACTACCTCCAAGTGAAGGTGATTTGGGTGACCAGAGATATGGCACTGAATTACAGATTTGTTGGTTCACTTTTTTTTCTTGTTTTAATTTTTAAATTTTATTTATTTTTATTTTATGTGTATGAGTGTATTACCTGCATGTATGTAAGTGTACCTCTGTTGTACAAAACCTGCCAAGGCCAGAAACGAGGCATTGGATCTCCTGGAACTGGATTTATGGACTGTTGTTGGCTGCCATACGGGTGCTGGGAATCGAACTGGGTTCCCTGTAAGAGCCACCAGTGTTCTTAATGGATGAGCTATCTCTCCAGTCCCAAGATGTGAAGATTGGGCTTTGATGAACGCTGGTGTGAATATACTGAAATCATAACCACCTCTCAAAGCATCAGGAATACTGGATCACACAGAGAAATGAAGTTTGAAAGGACTGAGCTAGTGGTAGGGTTGGACCATCATCCCTGTATCAGAAAGTCCTGTGTGTGCATTTCTTGCTTGAAGGTGATTATGTTTCAATGGTGCTTAATAAGAACCATTTTGGGGGAGTTTTACTTGATGATGAGAACTGCTGTTGTGTGAAATCAAGCGTGTGTGGATGGAAATTGCTCACCCAGCCTTGGGCCCTTTCAGGGGAATTGGAATCAATGAATGTTCCGTGGCAGCAAGTCCACTGCAGTGGTGGTCAGAAATTCCAGCAGGAGAGACAGTCCGTGTGACAGGAGAGAATGGACATGTGGCTTTCCTGACTCATGGGGGGCTCATGAAGTGCTGCAGATACTCCACACAGCATGGCCGTGCCCTGCACCATGCCCGAGGACCAGACTGAAAGGCTCCTGCCTCATGATTGTGAGTTACAGGCTGGTAAGAATCAGCACACCTCCATCCGCTTCTACAACCGACATTACTCTTTAAAGGAAAAAACGAGTCCAAGTTTGAGAACTTTTCCATGTTATATTAGACCTTGCTAAAGTTTTGCTTCGTATTCCCTTAGATCCTGAATCCCAGTGAGATTTGTTCTCTTTTTAAGCTGTCCACTCTCTGTAAAGCTTCTGTCATATAATGCACCCTCTACATGGCTTATTGACTTAGAAAAGCATCAGGAATAACAAAAAATGCAACAGGTACAGAATTTAGAACGCGGTTCCCCATATCTGTATGGAAGCATCATGAAGATACTGGATGGAATCCCAGTGCCTAGAGTGGGTTTCCCCTTAGGAACGCTTGGAAAGGAAAGGGACTGAAGACACACACCACGGGCTCCTGCTCCTGCTCATGTTTGCACAGCAGAGCGAATGGGGACACTGTCGGTGAATATGCTACGGAGTCTGCTTCCACAACATGAAAATGTTCCGGCTTAGAATCTTACATCTAGAAATTCTCTCCATGCTAAAAGTCTTTTACAGCCCCTAAAGGCACAATATAGGTTGCTCAGGCACAACTATCAAAACTGGTAATACTTGTCCATTTGTTAAGCAATAGCAAGTCTAGAAAGTGGTGCTCACTATTGTAATGTTGGCACAACTTTACACATGCTACCAAAAATCATTTGTGAACCGATGTCAGTTTCCCAGGATTTAACACATGTTTTATTTTCCAAGATATTGTAAAGAAACATGTTTGGGGAGGTTGTAGATGCCAGAAGGGAAGCGATCGCTCTTCTTTTGTTAAATAGATGTAATGTGCCTCTGAAGTCTTCTCAACATCTGTGTTTAAACCTACCGATTACTACAACTATCACTTTAGTGTGTAGAGAAAAATTTTAGTGTTTGGGGGCTACTTGCAGTAATTACAGTCAGGTTAATCTGCCAAGAAGCATTCACTGCTCTGAGGCATCATGAGCTAATGTTCATAAAAACATCAAATCCCCTATAGTATTCAGGGAACACTGTGGAACATATGAGAGGGGAACAAAACAAAGTAGGAACCTGAAGGAGGTATGTATATCAATAATTTTCTCCATGTCTGAAATCACCATCAGCTATCACGGACTAGAGAGAGCTTTGTAGGTTTACAAAATAATGTGGACAGTTTTCATCACATGTAGATAAGTAAAAATATACAGATAGAGGTAGGCCTGTGGTAATGATGTCCACACTCCCTGAGGCAGGGAGTTAGGAGACCTTTGAGGAAGATTCCAGTCCACACTTCCTTCTGCCCTCAGGTGTGTGTAACCTTTGGACCCAGTCAATTAAAGTATTTAGGTGGCTGGAACTTGACTGAAGGCCAGAATCCTGTGCAGGAGTTTGACCAGCCACTTCAAGCTGCAGTAGGACTTCTTAGAGATGCGGCTGTCCCTTGGTCAACCTCTGTCCTGTAAGTAAACTCTTACCCAGGCATGGATGCAAGCTTCTGTGCAGTGATTGATGTCCTATTTGGGGTGAATAGATGTTTGTTAATATCTCATGGGAAGCAATATATCACAGGGTTTAGAAGAATTTGGCAATCATTGCTCCAGAAAGTAATTAAACAGGGCAGGATGGATTCTTTCAACCCAGACAACAATTACCTCCTTCTGAAGACATGTGACAGTGTTCAACGACATTCTGGCTTCTTATTGATGTGAGGGAAGAAAGAGTGGGATGTTTCTGGTGTACAGTGGGTAGAAACCAGGGATGCTGTTCCACATTTTCAGGTCCCTAGGAGAGTTCTCAGAACAAGGAACAGCACAGCTCAAAAAGTCAATTACAGTGAAATTGAGAAATCAAACTTTATGGACAACAGAAGAACAAATCTGCCCAATTTGTCTCAGCTCTAGGAGGAAGGAACTAATTTAAGACACTGGGTCTCATGAGTCAAGTCATTTGGATCAACTTGAGAAACTTAGAATCTGAAGCCTAAAGTAGATCATGATAGCAACTCTGTGTCTTATATTTTTGGTCAGTTTGGTATAAGCCATAAGATTTTGTAAAAGGAAGAGGAGTGCGCTGCTAACGATTATCTGACCTTTGTAGGTGATATTTGCATACCTTGTTTTAGGAAATGGAAAGGTTATATATGTTTTGTTATATAGAAAGAAGCTGGTTAAGGCACAGGATGTTCTAAAGGCATAGCATGTTCCATCCTGCTTAGGGAAAATCAAAATAAGCTCCAGAAATAAATAACTCAATAGCTTCAGAAAGACCCTGAAACTGACCAGATCCACTAGATTAATTCTTCTCTAAGCATAAATAATCAGGAAGGGCAGCAGAGACATTCTTAGACCAGCCAGGCTGTGTGAGGGAGGCAGATCAGCCAAGTTGCCTGGACAAAGCATCCTAGAAGAGGCTTGGGCAAACTGAACTGCCTGGAAAAACACACTTTCCAACCTGTTGAGCTTCCTGTAAGTTGTGCAGTGTGATTCTGGATCTCTGGGGTGGGCATTTGATGATTTAGCTGTCCTTGTGTTTTCTGCCCCTGTAAGTAAATTCATCTACTAATAAGTAATCCCAATTTTTAACCAACTGGACTCTGGTGATACCTTCACATTGGTGGTGTTAGTCCTCAGGAGCAGCATCAAAAGTAGCATAAAATCAGTGTTTGGAGGCATCTTTTTTTCAGTAAAATGAAAATGTGTAATATTAATGATCTAACATTAATTTTTCATGTAAAATGTTTGTTTACATTCTCTGCTTCACTGATTTCTGGTGTAATTTATTTTGAATATTTGAGTTTAGGCATTTTTCCATTTTAAATTTTCAGCATTTACCAAATTTTATATTGGACATCTCCAACTGCATTTCTGAAGCACTATGTGCAATTTAGGTGCCTGGGCAGTCCATTTTATTTCAGAAATTTTCTAATAGTGTCATAAAACTGAACATACTTTTTAACTGCCTCTTGAGAATATAAAATGTTGGCAAGTGAGAAGTCTGTCTCTGTTCATCTGAAGAAATCAGAAAGTTGGTGAGCAAATAAAATCCATCACTGTCAAAACTTTTAAAATCAGGGCTTTACAAAGCTGGGAAAGTGGATAGAATTAAGCTGCATAGAACTTCTGTTTCCAAATGACCAAGGCAAAGTGTTTTCTACAAGTAATGACAATAATTCCGGCTAATCTGAGCCTCAGGACTCCGGATGTGGTCCCAGCCACAGGGGCACAGTGAGAGCTGCCAGGAATGTTAAATATGAGAAGGTGAGTTGCAGAATCTATAGCTGGTACACTGGCCCCACCACTGGCAAACAATAAACTTTAGGGAAAATCATAAACCCTGCAATGTAGTTTAATCACATCAGTGACCTAATGCTAATATTGGATGTTGAGTTTTAACGTTGAAAATTCATAGAGCCTCTGACTATGGAAAATGAGCAAAAATTCTGCAAATATTAGAATAACTGAGGAGGGGGCTGGCGAGATGGCTCAGTGGCTAAGAGCACTGGCGGGCTGCTCTTGCAGAGGACCCACACGGCATCTAACAACTTTCCACAACTCCAGTTCCAGGGGATCTGACACCCTCTTTGACCTCTGCAGGCACTACACTGCATGGGTGCATTGACATACATGCAGGCAATATACTCATACACATAGAATAAAAATAATCCATATTAAAAAATATCTGAGGAGAATGACATAAAATACTTATTATTAATGTCAATGCAAATGTTTGCCTGGGAGCAATAGAAAGTACTGAGAGTCACTTACATCTCAAACTATCTATGCAAATATAATTATGTGTCCGCATTTTCACAGTGGAAGAGATGTGTCCCCTATTCCAGCCAACCAGAATCAAATCATGCACCAGGGCGCACTGGGGCAGATACGGCTCTCCTCCACAGGATCCTGTTCTATAACCAGGTCTGAATAGATTGTCTCTGACTGAATCTTCCTCTTATTTAGCAGGGACATTCCTGCTGCTGCTGGTGTCAAACCTACTCCTGTGGGAGAATGCGGACTCAATGGCTGTGTGTCCAAGCGGGGAGGGTTACTGCCAGGAGACTCTCCCAGGCATGTTCGAAGATGCCCTCACCGTGTCTGATTACCTCAAGAACCAAACGGCCGAACTGTTAAATGCATTTGTAAGTACCTCACTTCTGCCTTTTTTTCTGAAAGGAGCTTTCATGCCAAAGACTAGGGACGCTCTACAGCTCAAATGAGAATGCGTCGTTGACTAAATATCAGATAATATGCTCAGAGGCAAATAATGTATCAGCCACTGAAACCTGCAAGAAGAACAGGCAAGTTTCAGGAACTCTCAAAGACAGTAGTGAAGAGAAGGAGGGGTGAAAATCTAGATAGAAAGAAAATGAGGTTACAGACAACTGGTGAAAAAAATCAGACAGGAGTTCACTTTCTAAATTCTTTAATTTCATTTGCTACATAGCGCTTTAAAAATACTTATATAGAGCTGGTAGATAGTTCAATGTGTGAAGTATTTGCCAGGTGGTTGTGAGGACCTAAGGATCCGCACACCTCATGCAAATCCAAGCACTTTAAGACATATATAAAATCCATGCGCCTTGGCAGTGAGTGAGGTGAGGGTGGCAGTAGGATGCTTGGGAGCTCCCATGCCAGGAAGTCTGGCCTATGCAGTAGCAAACTGTCCAAGACCCTCACAAGGAGGAAGGAGATCCAGCATCTTGGACTGTCCTGTTATCTCTATATTTGCACGGTGGCACACATACAAACCCTTATCACACACAGGAATATGCATGAACACAGATACATCATATGCACGAACATACGTAACACCAATTTGAATTAAGTTACATACTTACCAGATCATGGATTAATATAATCATTTCAAAATTTCCACTAACTGATCTTTTTTCCTCAGAGGGATGATGTTAACTACGCATCAGGCAGGTGGTACCATGAGGAGGCCAGCGTCATGGGCTGCCACACTACAGAAATGGGGATTCTGCTAACTCCAGAGGAAATCGCACAGACAGAAGTGAGTCTTCAGCCTGGGGTTTTCCTTCAAAGAATTAATCAGTGTACTCATTTTGCCATGCTAGAAGACATTATAGGTGCTATAAAAGTTACATGCGGAAACCTGGAGGGAGAAGAAATCAATGAATAGTCATGTTACAGAGTAAAGAAATTATAAAAATCAAAGGCTAAGCAATATTTCAGCAGATCCATAAACTGTCCATGTAGAGGACCAATTTTGCAATTTCTGCCTTTGAGATTGTGCTTCTTATTATGTAGGACACTTTGAAATGAATTGAAAAGTCTGTGGTGGATATACGTTCATAGGTATGGATGGGAAATGCAAACACAGTTTCATTTATTAGACATCACCAGAGGCTCCTGTGTTGGAAGCATCATGCATTTTTGACCACTGTGCTCTCCTCTTTTTTATTTTTTGTTAAAGCTACATCTTTGTTTTAATATTTTATTGAGTTTTTGTGCATTTCACATAATAGACCTTAATCAAATTTGGATGCCCCCCACCCGCACACACCCTACAGCACCCCTTACGTTGGTTTTCATGCATTCTGTCATATATGTTAAGTCCTATCAGGTAAAGCATTTGTACCTAGATGTCCCTCAGTGCAAGTTCATCCACTAGAGTCTAGTCAGCCTGTCTAGAGCCACTGCTTTAGATCAGCTCTCCCTCAGCCAGCACGAATCAGTTGCCGTCAGTTTCAGTTTCCTGGCTAGGGTTAGGACCTGCTTCCCATTTCCCCAGTTCCATACTGGGTTTTTGTTTGCTTGTCAGCGTGGGTCTTGTGCATGCTGACACCATTGTTGCAAGTTCATGTGAGCAAGTTCTCAGAAGCCTGAAGAAAGTTCTGTACCCTCCTGTTCCTACTGCTATTTCTTTCTTTTTTTTTTTTTTTTTTTTTTTTTTTTTAGTTTTTACAAAAACTTTATTGAGAATTTCATACATACATATCAGGTGTTTTGATCAAATCCATGCCCATTCCTTCCCCTCCAACATTTCCCCCTCTGAAGCAGTAACCCTAAAATCTTTTAAGGATTAGATACAAGCTCCCAAATACTTTCGACATTTTTGGCCTTTGGAACAGAGTATGTTGCTAACAGGCCCAAGGACATTTTGACTTTTAGCCAAGAAACTGGCTACATTTCTTTGGGGTCTTTTTACCCTAACTGCCTAGCCAATTCCTACCTCCTATTCTTATCACACCATCCTCTGAAGGGGTTACCCAAATTGCCAATAGGGAACAGGGACACAGACCACTCTGTCTTCTTCCATGCTGAATAGGGATGCAGGGTGAGGCAATTGGAGTACACCTTCAGTGGGTCTATCTAAAAGACCCCCAAATTGCACAACTCTTGTCTCTAATGGGAGAAGAAAGTCCTCTGTTTCTTACCTTCATGTTATTTCCTCCATGACTTCTCTACCTACTCCTGTCCTTACAGAAGGTCAGCTGAACAAGAGGTTCCTGAAGAATATAATTCTCAGGATACAACCATGCCCTCTGTTGTGATGAAAATGTTTTCATATCACGTCATCTGTAATTTATAATTGTTATAATGTCTCCTTCTGATTTCCTGTCTTAACTAAGCATAGCATAATTTAAATGGAATATCAACACATACATTATATACAACTGTTCTCACATCATGATTTTATAATACACCACTAATTCATATATCAGCTGTTCTCTGGGATTATATAAGAAAAGTGAATAAAGAAAAGTTAAAGGAAGAGGTAATATTTGTAGAGCGCTGTTTGTTCTTAGAAACTTCACAAAGCTCTCTATTGACATGGAAGCATTTCATCCTCATTAAAACCATAGCACCCACGGGCTTTTATCACAATACTGGCTGAGATAAAGAAACTGAGGCTCAGAGATTGAATCTAATATGTTCCACTTGCAAACCAAGTTAGAAGCTAGCCGCATGCCACAATGCTTCCAGCATCCATGGGCTCCCCGCTACTTTCTCTTCATTATCACTAGATCAGCTAACAGACATCAACTCAGCAAGCCTTTGACATCGGAGTTGAGTTTCAAGTATGGTCTTGGCGGAGAGTATGCACTGCGAGGCGGAATTCCATTGAGATTTCAATCAATTCTTTTATGCAAGGCAAAACTGAGCCACCATTATTCACCTGGACAAGCCACCATATAGGTTTCTCTGCTGCAGGCAAAGGGTCAGGACTCAAGGAGACCAAGGAAAGAGCATAGATCAGTGATCAATGCCAGGTTCTATTCATTGCATCTTTGTTCTGATGTTTTCAAATTAGCTAAAAATCAGAAATGAGTGCATCAATGAACAGCTTAACTGATTTCCTTAGATGAATTCTTAGAATAAAATAAAAAGTTGGGCTGTTTGCCCCTGAGGGTGTTGGCCTCTACTTGATCATATTCAGGTCCTAAGGACACCTAATGAATCCCATCAAGCTTAGATTCATCATAGACAAGCAAAGCAACCAAGAATAAAGATTATAGCAGGACAGATAATGGGAATTCAAAATGGAAGCAAATTATTATTAACTTGATTCTGTCATTAGAAAAATAGCTATTCAAATCTGACGTATTTAGTGTTATTTCCACAAACTGCGGGTCAATGGCTAAAAACTTACATTTACAGAACGTGTACCTTCTCCATTTGTTTTTAGAAAAGCATGAGAATAACAAACAGAAATCTTATTCTCTTTCAGCAGATAGCACAAGTAACATGCCCTGCTTTATATCGCTTAATTTATTACAATTCTGTCACTGTGATTCTTTAGGCTGTGTTGCTCCTGAAAGAGATACTCACTGTCCTGGAAGCTTGGAAAGACCCTCTTCTTCAGGCCACGAATAAACTGAATAGTATGGAAGATACCCCAACTGCTGTCGTATCAATAGCTGAAGTTGTCAAGGCAAAAATCAATTTACTTCAGGAGGGCATTGTGAGAATACTCAAGAAGGTGGGTGAAGAGTCTCCTTATAATTCTTTTCTCATTCATGAAAGAGTTAACCACTCTGGGAAGAAATCACACAAACACACACAAACATCACAGACAGACAGACAGACAGACAGACAGACAGACAGACAGACAGATAGATAGATAGATAGATAGATAGATAGATAGATAGATAGATAGATACCTTTTCGATGAAGAATTTAGGCATCCAGTCTAGTAGACAGCTTTACCCATAAAGGATTCCTGTGAGTGTGAGTCTTCTTTGTGATACCTTGCTCCGCGCTTCACACTCTAAGAATATCAGCACAAACTAGCTGTTCCTCATAGCATTTTGAGTGCCCCCTTGTTTGGCAAAGGGAAAGGTTTCTGACTACTTGACCACATCTTCTCATCGCCTTCATCACTGGACTATCAACATGTAAAATCATCAATGTCTTCATCGCCGTCACTCATATTTAAGGTTGAGGTACAATAAGAACAATACACTAAGTTAAAGACTAGACATGGTTAACGGTACACTATAAGAGTCACAAAACACAAAGCACAAGTTAGGGAGAATAGTGGGGAGCTGCCAAGTTCCCAGACAACTGACATTAGCTTCTCCTCTGCCCCTTGGTCAAATCCGGGGCCAGAGTCTATGAGCAACTTTCTGGTTCTCTTCCTGCCCAACTAGTGCACAAACATCCCTAGTGTGGGATCAGCTGCATATCAGGAAATTACCAGACATTCTGTCCTGTAGAATTTTGAACACAACACACCTGTATTGCTCTGGATCACATACATGAAAATCAATTGCTTTGTACCAATTTTTGTAATCCTACCTTCCCCCAACTATTCATTTGCAGTTTTACAGTTTAGAGAGAATAATGACCAGAAAATTCTAATGAATAACAAGTGAATGTCTTTTTGATGCTTAGATTAGTCCCGTGTCCCAGGAAACTGTGGACATCCCGGTCTGGAAAGGACTGGCATCCTTGAATTCAGATGATGAAGACACACGCGTCTTTACTTTTTATAATCTGTTCCGGTGTCTGAAAAGGGATGGGAGTAAGATTGACTACGACCTCAAGCATCTGAAGTGCCAGATCGTCCAGGATGCCGATTGCTAATCTCGTCTCCATCCACGCCCTCTAATGTTGAGAGGACTGATCAGCATCTGACCCCTTTGAAACTTCTTTTAAAACTTTTGAATTCATGGTTGGGTGGGATGGAATCTTTTTAAGAAAAAGAAATGGATTCTTGAACTTTCAATGTCTAAAGCTCTAATTTGTAAACATTAAGTTTGCTCATATAATAAAAAATTCTCTTTCTACCACTGAGATGTTCAAAATTTGTCATCATTACCAGAAGTTTGCTTTGCAAATATGGCAAACTACAACTTGATTTAGAATCACAGTGAGTCTGTATAGGTCACACTAAAACAAAGAGTGAGACTGTGATTGATCAGTCCTTCCATTCTACTAAGACAACAGATATCTCTGGATACTTTATGAAAGCCAACCACAGTCTAAGGTACAAATTTCATGATGAGATTATAAACAATAAAATATTATGCAACTGAGTTGTCCATAAGTTCCATGAAGTTTGTAAACAGCCCAGAAAATGTTAGGATAGCAACCTGGAATTTATCCAGATTTCCCTAATAACAGTCTCCCCCCATATGCTCGTCTGAAGTCTCTCCTTAGCAACATTGTAGACACATACCTGTCTCCTCTGGACTCTAACAAATCTCTTGTGGTCTAATTCATTCAGTTTTAACTCTTTCAAATCATTTACATTCCTTTGTCTCCCTGCTGTTAGTCAGTAGTTAGGGGCAGGCAGTTAGAGAAAACTTCTGGAAGGAGGGAATGAGATAACATTCCCACAGAACTTCTGGAATGTGTCTAAGTAAGGTCATCATTGGTCACCAGACCAATAATATGATCTGCCTGACAAGCCACCCTTCAGACAAGGACACTCATTTTAGTAATCTCTATCCCAGCCAGACCATTTGTGCCAAAGGAAAAGTGTGGGAGAGGGAATCAAAGGGACACAAGGCCTGGGAACCGTATGAAAGGACCAGCCTAGAAGGGACTTGTTGATCTGCCAGCTCTGGAGATCCTACCCTTCCCAAACGGAGGCTTTTAGCTCTTTACTCTTTACTTCTTGCTTAAATTCATGCCCGTTTTCACCCTTTTCTGAGTCTTTAACTCCATTCACCCTGAGTTTCCATCTCTTTGCATATCTGTTGGAGCAATCTGGACTCCAGGGAAATGTCCCTCAGCTCTCTTATGCCCACACAATTGTGAATTAGATTACGCAGTAGGGAAGCATAGACGATCAGCTCCTAGAATATGTTTCCACCTTACTGATTTCAGATTAATTTTCTTTGGGGGTTTGGGTAAGAAATATCCACATTAGACTCATGTATTTCAATACCGGGTTCAGTTTGTGCTGCTGATTATAGAAAATTAGGAAGTGTGGTGGTGTTGGAAGAAACAGGTCCCCGAAGGTGGGCGATGAGGATTTGTGGCCCTGCCCCATTTCCAGATGCTTTCTCTGCTCCCTCCTGTGTGTTTTTGAATGCATGAACACTGAGCTTTCTGCCCCAGGTGACTCCTGCCATTATGAACTCTCCCTCTGGAAACATAAACCCAAATAGACTCTTTTATAAGATGCAGTGATCATGGTGTTTTATCACAGCAACTAAGGAGTGACTAAAATTCATTCCATTGATGTCAAGACAGAATAGAGAATTAGGGAAAATGGAAAATTTCCTTATCACTGACTTTGGTGGAGACCAAAGACGTATGACTGATAAGGTCTCATCTTGAATTCTCTCCACAGGCAGACACACTAGTGTTTTCACAAGAAATCTCCCAGCAGGAACACAGGGACTGTGTCCTTGAATGGAGAAATCGCCTAGGTTTTCCTGTCCACGTTACAAATCTGCCAAATGTGTCAACCACTACTGTCGCTATTGCTGTTCACCCTGCTAAGGAAAAGTGGCTTCAAGTGTGTTTCCTGCTAAGACAGGGAATCTCAAGATTGGAAACACACTAGCAGTAAACGGCAACAGAAAGGGATCATTGCTGAACCCTTCCTGGCTTCTCTACCAATGTCCTTCCCATGTCACATGGACTCACAGTGAATCAGAAAGTCAAATGGGACACGTATCATAAATAGTACTGGAAAGACAAACATAAAGTGATATCAATCCATTTCTCTACTGATCCAGACACAAGGAAACAAACAGTTTCCCCTTCAAGTATACTTGCTATGTCCTAGTGTTCTCCATGCTTTTCGTTATTGTTTGGATCTGGAGTGTCTCCCAAAGTCTCATGCTTTGATGATTTTCTCAAAAACTTGTGACATGACAATGAGGTGCTTGAAACTTTTAAATAAGAACTTGCTATGAGGAAGTTGTCACTGGGTGTGTGCTGGGATACTGGACGTTAGTTCTCTTGCTCTGTCTCTGTCTCTGCCTCTCTCTGCCCCCCCCTCTCTCTCACACACACACACACACACACACACACACACACACGCACGCACGAGCTTCCATTATGGTAAACTGTGCTGCCATAGAGCAATGAAACACAACCAGGGGACCACGAACTGAACATCTTTAAAACTGAGACATGAGTAAGTATTTTCTCCTCTTAGATGACTAACAACACCTTTTTTTTACAGAATCAGTGATTATACATTCGTGTCCCACTCTCCATAGATGGTAACTAATAAAATTAACAATAATGATACAAATATAGACTTCTACTTCTAAAGTATTTCTCAAAATATATGGCCGAAGACAGCACACCTGATCTTTATTTCTTAAAAATGACTTTTCAGTGAATAATCTTTTCCTCCTTAACACTTTTCCAAAATTCCCCGTAGGCCATCAGAGCTTCTTCTATATGGAAATATTCTGCCATAGCCACAATGTATTTGGTTAGACAGATAAGAAAAGAAAATCAAGTAAAGAAGATTTAAAGGAAACACTTCATCCACAGTGCAAATAACTTATTTGTGAACAGAAGCTGCCATTGCATGTCTTACCATCATGAAGGACATGGGTTACCATGTTTGGAAACCCAAACAAGGGTGATTTTCTCAATAAGAGTCCTGTGTGGGTTGCACTGATAAGTTTATCTAACTCAAGTGTTGAAAGTGATTTTTTGAATTTAAGACTCAGTACCACAAATCTCACTTAATTCCACTTAAGTCAAATGAAACTAGTAAAGTTTAAACTGAATAGAGCTAAATTGAAAAAGTTTTAGTACCGTTTTGTAACACTCACTCAGGTCATAACAGGTTTAACACTTTATTTCCAAATGTAATTGATGTTCACTCTGAGAAAGTGAATAGAGAATTACCTTAACATTCTCAGATTAACTGAAAAGGTCACATTATGAACTGAACAATACTTTTCAAATAATCACTAATAAGTTCTGAATCATCAGACTTGCAGGTGAGCCACGGATGCTGTTATTGACTGCTTAGCTAGACTATAATAACTTACTTATAAAAGCCCTTTTGCAATTGCTAGATACAAATTGATACTGAAAAAAGATAAAGACGCCTGACGTCATGGAACTTAGATTCTAACTGGAAAAAACAGATACGCCGAACACGTACACAAGAATTTGGGAAGCTCATGAGCAGATAATCTTTGATCTAGGAACCAAAAAAACATCAGAGTATTGTGAAAGGTTTATGGAGAACATGTGAGCTAGACCTCAAAAGGAACACCACAGATGTTCTCCCTCTGCTGAGTCGGAGGAACGCGTGCCGTCTTGGATCACACATCCAGGTTTGTTTTTTTTTTTCCCCTGCCCAGAAGGCTTTAAGTTCATGCTCCATGATTTTCAAAAATTTACTTTTCTCTCAGACTCTGATTGAGATAGGTCCTTCAAATCTATCCAAACACAACTATTCCAAAACCCTCAACCCTTTTCAGTTGAAATAAAAAATGTTATGAATAATTTTTGCCATAACCCCCTAATACAGTAATTAAAATGTTGTATATGTTTTTGGAATTTCGTATAGTTTACTTTGGTCATATACACAACCATGTCCTCCCCCACAGTTCTTCCCAGATCCAGTCACATCTCCCAAACCACCATACATAACCCTGTCCCTCTTTACTCATAATCCATCCACTTTAATTTGTGCTACCCATATATTCTTAAATGGGGAGTTATCCAATCGATCGTGTTGGATATACTTGAATTGACAGCCTTAAAGTAAAATGACTCTCCGTCTACCAGAAGCCATCAACTGTCCACATAGCCTTGATTAGGGGTGGGGGCTCCTGAACCTTTTCCTGCTACATGCTAGAATGTTGATTGACTTGATCATATGGAGATTTTCTGCAGGTAACCACAACTGCTGAGTTCTTGCGTGCACTGGACCTGTCATGTCCAGGAGACACTGTTAAATTCTAGTTCTCCCCAACCTCTGCCTCTGTAATCTGTCCTCCCTCCTTCCACCAGGACTTTTTCCTCCCTCCTTCCACCAGGGTCCCAGAACCTAGGGGAGTGGTGTGATAGCTGTGCATTCCACTGACAGTCTCGCCTTGGGCTAGTTGTGAGTTTCTGCATTAACCAGCATCCGCTGCACAGAAAAACTTTTCTAATGAGGTCTGAGAATTGCACTAACCCATGGTTGAGAGACAAATATTGATGGGCAGTTTTATAATTCAGTGCAATATTAATGCAAAGATTTAAAAATATTTTTGAAGACAGAAATCTAAAACTAGGTTTATTTACTAAAAACATACCAGTGTTCACAATGATACGGTTTAAATTGTCACACACTTATTGCTATTATTATGGTATGGCATTTGAAATTCGCATAAACTATGAGTGAAGGTAATACTACGGATAATAGACATGGCTGTTCTAAAATTCTAAAATTTTCTCCTGTCAAGTAAAGGTCAATCATATTCAAGGTCTGTAGACTAATGTATTATGCTTGCATAAATGAATACATGAACTTTGGTTTAGTTATTAAACAAAGAATGTACTTTGCTTGTAATTTAAATATGAACTCTTATAGTACCACAAACAGCTGGGAATAAAATTCACCTACATATATAAAACTTTGTAAGATTGGTGATATCATCAATATT